TGGTATGTTCCATTATAAACCATCCATTTTCGGGGACCCATGACTATGGAAAACCCTCAAATATGGGTATGGGTCAAAACCCTATCCCCCTGGTGAACATCAAAATAGCTGGTAAATGGATGTTCATCCCCCTAAAAATGGTATTAATAAATTAATAGGTATTGATCCATACCCATATGTCTTGTCTTTGTGCGGAAGATGCCAAGACACTCTGGGATCTGCATATTGTCCGAAGAAACTGGGATCGTAGAAGAGCTGAGTCCGGGAGTAGCACCTGGCAACTTCACGGGGAACTTTCCGGAGAGACGAACCGATTGGCGGTTGGTGTTTCAATATGCTACACTTACCCTGCAGTAAACTAACAGTTTGCGAACTGGAAAATGGACCATTTATAGATGATTTACCTATAAAAAGTAGTGATTTTCCATAGCAAACTGTTAGTTTACCAGAGGGTAGATAGAAAACTCAGGGGAATCATATTCTGGCAATTTGCAGGCAAACGCTGGTAAAGACACCTGCAATACTTGCACATGGGACCTGGGACTTCCTTAGGCCTACCCTTCCTAACATGACACCGGCCCTGACAGGTAAGAACGCCACGGAGTTTTGATACAGATAGGTGGCAGCCTCCGAAAACCTACCTGAAACGGAAACTACTTGGTACTTTGCCCCCCGCGCGAACCATCGATGGTTAAGCATCGCCAAAGAAAAACATTCAATGAATCATCAAAATTCGGAGATTTTTCGGACCATAGAAAAGCCCAAAGTTGCAAACTGGTTGGTGGTATACCTACCCCTCTGAAAAATATGCCTTGGTCAGTTGGGATGATGACATTCCCAATATATGGAAAGTCATAAAAAATGTTCCAAACCACCAACCAGCAAGTTTGTAATCACCAAAATGATTTCTGGTTTTTGGACTTTGGGCACAACAGAACATTAAAACAAACTCAAGACACATGGGTTCCCTAAAGCACTTGGAAGATGGGCTGGATCCCGGTTTTTCACCGTTCAGCTGGATCCCCCAGCTGGGCCCCATGGATGATGATAGTCCCCCATATCTTGCATGGTAAGCGGATACTTTGACTCCCTACAATCATCACATAACATCCACCAACTACCCTCTGGTTCTGACTAACAGTTTGCCATGGAAGCCATGGCCCATAGAAATAGATGGTTTATCGTTCTTAATAGCATGGTGATTTTCCATGGCTATGTTAAAAAAACAAGATGGTATCATTTATGAATTATATCCCTAGATGCTTGATGGTTCACCCTCAGTGTAAATTGTACAAAAATACCCCCATTAACCTCTGGTAAACGTTTACATAACGAACTGGAAAATCACCATGCTATTCATGGGAGAAACAACTATTTCGACTGGGCCATGGCTTCCAGTTCGCAAACTGTTCAAATGACCCGAGGATAACCGGATAAGTTGTTGTATTCGCAGCCAAGGCACAAATCAATGAACATGACCTGCCGAATCGATGGTTTCTCAAAAAAAAAAAGCTGGACGAAATCCACCATTTTTAGGTGGACTATGTTGGTTCATGATTTGGATCAAACCGCGTCCTACCATCACACTGGTTGCGTGCATGATGGGTAATGATTCCAAATGCTGGCGAAAATTCGTCCACCGACGAATCATCCCTACCAGATCTCGTTGGCGATCCTTCAATCAGTATAGCTCGAGAAAAACCTTGAATACCTTTTGAGACCAAAAAAAAGGATGGTCTTAGCCTGAAAAAATGATCCAACATGATCAAATCATCAATTTTTGGAAAATACTTTTGAGCCATGGCCCAGTGTATTTCAAAAGCGGAGAGCTGAACACCAAACATAACCCTGGTTGGTGGTATACCTACCCCTCTGAAAAATATGAGTTCGTCAGTTGGGATTATGACATTCCTAATGTATGGAAAGTCATAAAATTCCATGGTTCCACCAACCAGGTATACTATCCAATGGGTTTATCCCCTATTAATGCTCGGTTGCTCGGATTTGCGGAGGAAACAGAACACCGACTTTTCAGTCCCCGTGTAGCGCTGAAAATTTCCCACGAAGAACATCCCTTACGTTCACCAGCATGTACGGGAACATCGTGGTGAGGTCCTGAAAAAAATGTACTCTTTTTTATCCATGAATTCAATTTTTCATATTCATAACTAATAAATACTAATCTGGTTGGTGGTTTTAACCATCTTGAAAAATATTAGTCAATGGGAAGGATTATCCCATATATTATGAAAAATAAAAAATGTTCCAAACCACCAACCAGTAATACTAACTAATTGGATCACTTTGAGATTATGTATCGATGATTTCACCCAGAACCATCAGCATCAACCCATAACCCTTGCAACTCCGCCAGGCTGCAACGCAGAGCGGCCCATACTGCAACCACTTCCCACGGATGGAGACCTGGCTTCAGTGCTGGACCGACCTTGCACCTGATGTGCCCCGAAAAGCCCTGTATGTTGGCAACCTGCAGCCTGTGAACCCAGCTGAGTCCAAGCGGCTTGAAAGAACTCTGGGCCCGGCAGATATCGACAGAGACCTCGCTGCTAAAACGCACACAGTTTGGAGCTGCAGTACCCTTTTCACACCAAAAATAGTTGGTAGTTATGGATGTTCATCCACCCAAAATCATGGACTGAAAATGTGTCCTGTGATTCCTGATCCTGGATCGGATGCCCGCCCCCCCAAGTTGGCTAGATGAATTTCCTACTAGCGGGGTGTTCCATTGCCTCGTGCATTCATCTCAAGTTGCTGCCAAGATGAGTGTGTCCAAAAAAACTGATAAGCGCAAGCTCTCTCACCCCGCAAGTTTTCAAACAGATTGGACCACATATTTTTTCAGATCTCCCCTGGCAAGCAAGCAAGCAAGTGATGCTGAAAGCTAGATTCGTGTGACACGCACTATGTAGGTGGTCTTACCACGCTTAACGTCAATTTTCCAAGCGTTGGTCAAAGAAAACCTTTGCTTTCACCAAGTCGAGACAAGAGAGGTTGATCGATATCCGGGATTTACTCTCCAGCAAAATAGTAATGTTGGCAAAACAATCACCATTTTTTATACTGTAGGTGGTATAGCTCCCATTCCCAAATGGGTGGTTCACAAAATTGCTTTACCCACGTTATACATAATCAACAAATAGGGGTTTTCATTGTAGTAGGGGTACCCCATTTCTCATCCATTTTGATAGGATTTGCCATTACTCTGGTAAACGTTCACATAACTATGTAAAATCACCATGCTATTAATAGGTAAATCAACTATTTCGACTGGGCCATTTTCAATAGCAAACTGTTTGTTTACCAGAGGGTATACCATCATATATCCTAATAAATCCCATTAGATCCCATTAAATCCCATTAAATCAATAGCTAAGTTTGTTTACCAGAGGGTAACCACATTAGTATCTATAGAAAGCCCCGGGGCTCCAAACCGTGCGAATCGTCCACGTGAGATTTTCAAGAGAATCCCAGCGTGGGCGAAGGCTTCGTTTGCCAGGCGGGGTTCGCATGTAGTTTCTTACTAAAGCTGTCATAATGGGATTCAATAGGATTCCATTGGATTTAATAGGATTTAATGGGATTTAATGGGATTTAATGGGATTCAATAGGATTTAATGGGATTCAATAGGATTTAATGGGATTCAATAGGATTAAATTTGATTTAATGGGATTTATATGAATTTATTATTAGGATATATGATGGTATACCCTCTGGTAAACTAACAGTTTGCGAACTGGAAAATGGCCATAGAAATTGTTGATTTACACATGAATAGCATGGTGATTTTCCATAGTTATGTAAACGTTTACCAGAGGGTATATCTCTGTTCGTGAGAATTGAGACATCTGATAATGCCACTATATGCCACTTCATAAATGAACATGGATGTCTTTATGATTCCTTACATCCTTTGATTCATATATGGGGGTGAGTCAAAACCATTCAAAATCAATGTGTGGGATGAACACCGAAAAAAATCCCAGCTCTGACTTGAGGTTCACTGGGTACCAGGCTGCCATGACCCATGGCGCCATACCTGATCTAATCAATCCCTACTGGCGTGTTACCGGAGAAAACCGAACAAAATCATGGCTGAGTCTCCAGGCGTTTCCAGCAACTGCAGGAGGGTTGAGGTATCCTGACGGAGTCAGCGCTACTGGAGGTAACAGGTTTATGGCTATGGATCAATACCTATAGACGTAGCATTTTGGCTACGGGATGAACATCCTCTTTGACACCGGCTATGGATCGATGTGAACTACCGTGAACTACAGGAGTTTTTCAGGTTTTGACCCATCCCCATATGTTGTAACATGGCTATAGATGTTATGATGATGTTATGATGTTGGCTATGTACGGCTATAAAGAACTAGAGTTTCAATAATATGTGTCTATAGTTGTTCACAAAGAGACAACCAAAATCGCCTTGCCGTGATTCCTGCGAAGATTGGACTAGTAGTATGCGTGAGCCACCCATGACACAATCCATAAATGGGCGAAATGATATATCCTTTCCTATATGGTGCCGTGACGGTGACCAACCCTACCAAGCCCAAAAAATGTTGCTTGTGGTGAGCCCAAGGTTTAGAGGAAATGACATCCTAAAATTTCATGCTTCATCATGCTTCATAGAAAAATTATACAAGTACACTAAAATATAGGGCGGATGGATCAAAACCTACAAACCCATATTTTTTGGGTGGATGAACATCCAGAACTACCAGCTATGAGAATGGATCAAAATTCAAACCCAGGGGACTACATTGGTTTCTGTATTTTCACGGTACCCTCTGGTAAACGTTTACATAACTATGGAAAATCACCATTTTGAATGGGAAAACTCACTATTTCGACTGGGCCATGTTCAATAGCAAACTGTTGACATAACCAGAGGGTAACCCCCAACCCGTTTGGGAATACCCAAAAATGACCAAACTGCCAGGGTGCAAAGCTAAGAACTTGGCCACGAATGTGATCCTCAGAGGCCGGAAACCTGGAAACCTGGAAGCCTTGAAGTCATGCGAAGTTCCATCGTAAGATTCTGTGCGTTTACTTGGCTAGTTACTATTGAACAAGTTGGGATTATCAAAAAGTATGCTAGTTGATTTATAATGTTCATCGTAACCCAAACTCAGAAAGTGGTTATTGTAGTTGTTTCTGCGACCTACATATATTTCTGATGGCCTGCTATTCCAGGTTCCGAATGGGTAGGCTACTGATATAGCCAACAATCAATCACTAGACCTTGTGCGTTTCTTTACCGTGCCAGCAGGGAAACAGCCATCCAGCTAGCCGCAAACCCATAGAATTGCAGATCATCTGTGGTGTATCACGGCAGCCCCCACTATTTTCCAGTGCTTCTTGCGAATTGGCACTCACTCATACACATATAATAGTATATCCAAGTAGATCACTATATCTCATTACATTCTCATGATATTTCCATGATATTCCAGTATATCCCCAAGTTTTATCCTCATGAAAATATGCAAGGGTCACCAAAAACCTGTGATCCTATGGACATGCAAGGCCTGGAAGCATGAAACCCGCTCAGGAGAGCTGGCTGTGCCAAGGCTCTTCAGCTTGTCACTAAAAGTACCCAAGACTTTCGTTGGCACCTGCGTTCGGGAGATTTCGGGAGGCCCGGATCGGGATCCGAAAAATAGTGGGAATGATAGCATTTATCTATGTTCTTCTATTTTACTTATCTGGTTAGAGTCTAAGTTTCTGCTATGTTCCAGCCCCTTTCTGTGGGAATGGAAAAAAAGATGGGGACCATTTTAATGGGATGAAACGATGCCAAAAATCGTTAAGTCGGGACTCGCCCTTTGGCTCTTCAAGTTGACAAAAAATGCCATGATGAGTCAATTGGGATTACCCTCTGGTAAACTAACATAACTATGGAAAATCACCATTTTTAATGGGAAAATCCACTATAAATGGCCATTCTCAATAGCTATTTTGACATAACCAGAGGGTATCTTCACATGGAAGATGCCCGGGTGCATCACCATAGCTTTCAATACTAAACTGATCATCCATGGCGGATGAAAACCTCCACATGTTTGTGGTCGCTGCAGATGGGAACAGAGCTTTGGACCTGCCCCCCCCCAAAAAAAACGTGGCTTCGTGGCTTCGAATTTGCACCGTGTTTACTACTGCGGTAAACCCAACGGTGTAAACACCATCGTACTACCATCAATGGATGGTACCCTCTGGTAAACATTCACAGTTTGCGAACTGGAAATGGCCCAGTCGAAATAGTGGATTTACCCAGCTACATAGCATGGTGATTTTCCATAGATTTTTGTAAACGTTTACCGGATGGTTTTTCAGATGTAAACTGATCATCCCCAATCATGGCAGTTCATTGGGATGATCTGGCAGGAAAAACTGAAGTTGGAACCCCACGAAACAACGTGTTCACTTCCGATGAAACGCAAGCGCAAGCGGAGTTCATCTTTGCCAGAAAATGTCCCCATGTTATGCCCTGATGATTCGTGACCAGGGATCCTTAGATTGAATTTTGATTGCAAGACTTCAATCAAAACTTAGAAAACTAGTAGCGCACATAAACAACAACCATAACCTGGTGATGTTTGATTGTTCAATACAAAATCGGTCTACGTATATCCCCAAAACAATTATTTCCACCATAGGCGGGATAATAGCAGACATGATCAGAAACGGCTGGGAACCAATCACAATCCATGTATTGCGTTTATCATAACGGACAGGTTAACCGTTACAAAGCATGACCCCCCGCCTTGTAATGTTGATAATAATGATAACAATAATAATCATATGTGTACAAATAATACATGTCTGATACATTATCTGATACATAATACATAGAATTCCTTCAATGAATGTGTTCTTATGTATTTTACCAGTCCAATTTGCGTATTTGTTGCATCTCCATTTATTGTTCATTACATCCCTATTTCATTGGTCATCCAAGATATCCCGCTCCTCAATGTTGATCCCCAATATAGAAAAATGTCGAAATCTTCAAACGATGGCATACAGCATACCCTAATCAGTTTCTAAATTTTTATTTTCAAAAAGATAAGTGGATGATAAAATTTAAGAAAATACTATACCCAACCAATTTACCACTTACTTACCTAAAATTGTTGTGGTATTTTGTTAGCCCCCGATCGTTGGACCTATCGCACCTTCGGTTTGTTTAATGCTAAACAATTTCCAAAATGTGTGGGCTGGTGGGTCTTCAAAAAATGTCAGCTCCTCATTGTTGAGAACAATCCCTCTCCAGCCTCCCCTTACTCTTGGTTGGCTAAAATCCTCATTTTTATTGGTTTCAAATATGGATAAACATTATAGGGTAAGAATTCTTGTTGCACTCATACAAAATGGTCTTATTGCAGGTTGAAATGATTTGTTTTTTCAAGTTGATACAAACAAATATGGAGAAATTATACCAATTCATCAACCTGCAACAAGACCAGTTCGGATGATTCCCCTAATCCCAACCAATTTCTAGCAGGGACGGAAGACGATGTGAGGACGTTACAATTTATCCAGGTGTATCCATATCTATCATATATATCATATGTATCATATATATATCATATATATATATATCAAATATAGGATATATATATATGTGATATATATATATATGATATATATATATATCATATGTATATATATCACATATATATATATCATATAATATATATATATCAAATTTGTATATATATGACATATATCATATATATCAAATATATATCATATAAATTTATCATATATATATATAAATAAATATATATCATTTATCACATATATCATATATATATATCATATATATCATATATATATATATCATATATCATATATATATATAATCATATATATAGATATATCATATATATCATATATATCATATATATATATATATCATATATATATCATACATATCAGATATATAAATATATCATACATATATATATATATCAGACATATATCTATATATCATAAATAAATAAAAATATATATCATATATAACATATTTCAAAAAAAAACATTTATATCATGTATATCATATATATTACATATATATATATATCAAATATATATCATATAAATCATTTATATATCATAAATATCATAAATATATATTATATAATATATCATATACCATATATATATATATCATATATATCATATATATATCATATATATCATATATATATCATATATATTTCATATATATCATATATATCATATATATATAATATATATATATATATCATATATCTATCATATATATCATATATATATCATATATATCATATATATCATATACATCATACATATCATATATATATATATCATATATATCATGAATATATATATATATCATATATCATATATATATATATCATATGTATCATATATCTCATATATATCATATATATCATATATATATATACCATATATATCATTTTTATATATATATCATATTTATCATATATATATATATCATATTTATCATATATACCATATATACCATTTATTTATATATATATATATCATATATATCATGAATCATATTTACCATAATTGTCACATATTATGTATATATATATATATTTATTTATTTATTTATGTACTTCATAAATATCATATATCATATTTATCATAATTGTCACATATTATGTGTATATATATATCATATTTATGTCATATATGATATTTACATATTATATATATATATTATACACATACTTTTTCAATTCCCACCATTTGGGTCTGTTCAAGTCATACAATACCCCCCCACCTGAATTTCCAAGGGCTCTTCAAAGGTCGGAAAGTCCCAATCCTCGAGAGGACATGACCTTGTTTGACCCAGGAGTTTTAACCTAACCAGAACGAGTAAAATCATTTAAAACATCATGAAACATGACCATGAACCATTTCATACCATATCTATACGAAACTGGGACACATATGTATGTTCTTGATTCCCAGTGTCATCTTAGTTCGTATGAAACATGAAACGTATATCAAACATGACCTTTTTAGTTCATCTGTAGTTCCCAGTTTGATATGTTGCAAGTCATCTCCCCACACAAAGTGCTTTACCTTCCCTCTGGAACTCAGACAATGAAAAATCACCCAGCAGTTTCACTACCAAAGACAAGAAAGTTTCACATTGTCCAATGATAGCAATTTCAAGCAAGTAACTGGTTGTAGTATAGTAACCTCCCCAAAGCTACAAAACATAATTTACCAATATTCTAGTAGGACTTGACCATTCTTTTATGGCGGGTGTGTTCAAAACCCTGATTGGACCTCCAACATTCTCCAGGTTCGGTCCTGCACGGTCACCAGGAGGTCAACGAAGACTAAGACACCAGCGCAAATGCTGCGTGTCACCTGCCATGGATTCAAAGCATCAGATGCCCAGAGAACATTGGTTTGGATGTCCATGGCCATGCTAGCGCAAATATGGTGATGAGAAAGTACATATGTATGTATGTGTATATTTGCGTATTTGGTGTGCATATATATATATATGTGTGTGTATACTATCAAATTATGGGCGTGATATGTCTTAAACAATGACAACTATTAATGGGGTTCATTAAGGCAATCCTTGATTTCTGCCACGAGACATGTCATTTTATGATCCGCATTTTTAATTTTTGTGTGTGCTTGTTCTTGTGAATTATACACTATCATAATTCCATTTTGGTTTTGTTGTTTTGTTCAAACTGATATTTCATGGTTATGTTGCATAGCAAACAATATTGTAGACCGTTTTTCTCCGTCGGACAATTTCTTAAACTGACATCTGGATTGAAACTGAAACGGGCTTAACACACCCATGCAACATTTTCAGTAGTTTGAAACAACCATGTGTACCCAATTTCCGCCATGTTCAATTTTTTGTGGCTTTCATTCCACACATGCCCAACGACTTTGGCACTTTTTATGATTTTTTACAAACTCTGTCGAAATCCCAACATTAGATTCGGATGTCCATCGATGGAATGTGTGAGAAATGTGCGAGTCACAAAACAAGTTTTTTTCGCCCAATCAAAATGTCGAAACTCTCCCCTGGGAACCGTGCTGGGCGCCTGATAACGGAAACTTCATTTGTACCCATGTGCTAAAAAAATTAAATCCACAACATCACCCCGGCACCAAAACAAACCAGTTGATCGCATTGCTACGCTTATGCATCAGCTCCTAGATGGGCCCATAACTTGGCATCCCCAGGCGCCAAGGTCCCCCAATCATCCCCGATGCCCTAGCGCCTCATCCGAACCACCAAAGATCACAGGCGCCGAAATTTGGTCCTGAAACCAGCCGCTTTGGGGCTGGGAAACAAACATTGCAATGATGGGCAAACTTCAAGTTTTACCTGGTTCATGTGGGAGGCCACTGTGATGGTGAAGACATGCGTGTTATGTGGGCCAACAAAACTGAACCAACAAATACAATGGTGTGGTTCTTTTGAGTGGGCAAAGCAATGTTTTTCTTCGCGGCCAATCTGCAGATTGGCCAATTTCCAAAATTCATGCTACGAACGATCTACATATGTATGCGGTATGCGCCTATCTCTGCTCACCTATGTGTCTATATACCTACCTGTCTATCTACCCCCAAATTGGGCAGAAAATGGTTGTCGCTTTGCGCCTGAAGTTTTGGCGCGATGGGGCGCGCTCTTGTCGTTTCTTTGTGCTCCATGCTGGCCATTAACCGCCGCCTCCCCAATCCAGCAGTTGCCATCTGCGCTGCCCCTTGACATCTGCCATCGTGCTCTCCTCCTTTCGTCCTTGTTCCTTCCAGATGTTGCCGGCAACAGGTGAATGTCAATGGAACCCTATGTTGAGGTGTTCCGGAACCTTGGAACGCGGAACCTTGCCGGAACCTACTTGCGTGCAATTCGTCAACTTTGTTGTCATGTCCGGAGTCCAACGATAGAATAGGCTGTTGGCTGTTCAGTTGGGGAAATCTCTGTTGAAGATCAATGGCTACTGAATATCTCAGCATTTTTTTAGTCACACTCCAAGCGCAGTCTCTATGCAAACTGTGCATGCCACAAATGATCTCCATCTAATATGGGTAAAACAATAATAAACCACCCATTTGGAAATGGATAATACCACCTATAAAAATGGTGATTTGGGGCATGGTTATGGCATTGTTTACCCGCATGATAAGGAATGAAACAACATGTTTATTTTAGAGCACAGTCTTCTGTTTTCAGAACAAGCACTGTTCATATATTCCTGGCTTCAAATGATCCTTCTTTCCCTGTTCGCACTATTCCTATCTATTACTCATGATGTGAACATTTCGCCTCTGGTAATTCAACATAGCTATGGAAAATCAGAAAATGATCACCATCTTCGGAGGAACATGAAACATACTCAGGCTACCATCCCATGGGAGAATTCTTCTCGACCAGCTGGAGGACACTTTTAGACTCCAAGATACGCGGTGGTTCGTTTCGGTCTCTATGATGGTGATAACACTTTTTTTGGCATAGTATGAAGTGGTGATTAGTGAAATAGTGATTAAAAATGCCATATTTGGCATCATGTGTATAGCGGCATTAAGTATGAATAGTGGCATAGTATCATGTGGCATGTTTATGTTTAATTTCCAGACATCATATGACATAATGATGTCCAAATCGTCAAGGGAACATTTCATGATAATGGAATCCATGCCTGTCAATACCGGTGGGCCAACGCATTTTCTTTGGGGAGTCCCACGCATTTAAGTTGAGTGCTCCGGGGCCAAGAATCACAGTAACAAAAGGATGATCATTTGGAATATGTGCATTCTGACCTTTAAATGCAACAATCCAGCTGTCCTTTGGAATGTAACATGGCAAACAGGGAAATCAAATCCTCAAATTCAATGGAAAGTCATCAACTGAAATGGACTCCAAAAACCTGATGATTTGGGTGTGTCTAAAAATAAGCTAATTACCCCAAATCGAGTAGTTTATCAATGTTAATTTCTCAGTGTTTTCCCATTGAACGGCTATACTTTGCTGCACCCCATTTTCAAACAAACCAAATCCATGATTCATTGATCAAATTATATGAACTCCATTTCACTCCCACTATATCCTGATTTTCTGCGTGATTTTACACCCCCGTTCTTGCTGATCAAATTCCACTAAGCATCGTCTAACTGACTCATGTCTGATAAAGTTGTATCGATCACCGCCGCGGTGAGATAAAGCACCCACACTTCAACGCTTTCTTCGGGTGTGTTTGGGTCGGCGCTGGGTTGAAGAATCTTAGCAAATCATTGCAATTCCTGAAGTGGAAATGTCAATGGATTGGTTTAATCGAAAATCTACAGGAAACCCATGGGTTTTACCTTCAGATACAGAGCTTTCCTGCAGATGTTCCATGAAACCCTGGGAAAATAGCAGTCTGGGGGATGATCCAAACCTTAATTCTTAGGCGTCATTCTCGGATTTTCGGGCGAGGTTGTTATCTTTGTGCCCACATAGAATCCGCAAATCCAATACTGCACATATTACCAGGGTTCCTGACGGGAGTTGCTTATGATATGTTGGAACGGATGAATTTCAAGTCCGCAGCACTTGCGATTCTAGTACCATCACAAACCCAGCATGCCATAGCCAGTTCCAAAGTCCAGCATGCCATAGCCAGTTCCAAAGTTGGGTGAATCTCCAAATTTTCTAAGATGGCATAGAAACCCTCAAAAAGATGCCGATATCCATAAGGTGGATACTGGATCACAGCACCCTGACACATGAACTATGCTAAACTGTCGGCGATTTTCCATCGTTCAGAAAATCTGACAAAAAACACCTGCGTTTCTTCGGGATGTTCAGGGTGCAGTGTCCCAGAAAAAATCGGATCTACCTTCTGGCAATGTTTGCCATAGCTATGAACAATGGCCCACTTATAGATGATTTTCCGAAATAAATGGAGGATGTGAGAAATTCCCATCTTGGATTCCCCGAGGGTACACCCGCCAAATCGGTTGTATCAATATTCTAAAGGTGTTCTATAGTTGAATTAAAAAAAAAAAACACCCCGCCCTGCGTAGAATCGGGACAAATTCTCTTCAAAAATTCTTCTACTTGGATATGCATCCGAGCTAGTAAGTTAAGTGCTTTATAAGCCCTATATGGGTATAAGTCAAAACCCTGGTGCCCTTCTCTTCACCCAAAAATAAATCAAAATAGCAGTTGTGGATCTTCATCACCCCAAATACAAAAATATATAGGTTTTAACCCATAGAATATCAGCTCCAAAAAAACACTGGGCTATTTCATACCGTCATCCACGAGATCCATGCCTGGCAGGGCATTTCCAGATCATCCATGCAGTTTTGCGAAAGAAAAGTCACAGATCATATGTGTGGCCAATCTATATATATATATCCACTGAAACAGTTGGATTTTGTTACTTGCTTTAAAAACAAAAAATGCGAAAAAAAGGAAAAAGGAAAAATCCCTTCACCAAAGTTTCCTCCAAGTTCGGGCCACCCGTCCTGATTGGGCCCTGTGAGAAAAACAAGCCACACAATGGGCACAGCGCCACAAATAAAGCATGACCAGGCCTAGAAATTCAGGAGATGCTGGGAGAAAGGGAAGCATTTGACCACTACGATGCTGGGAATTTTCATCCTATCCCCCTAATGCTACACAACCCCATGGTATGGTCCCAGTCAGATGTGCTTTCATCGTCTACCTTTTCACCAGGTTTTATGGAGGATGTTTTTCATGGTTTATGGGATCAAAAAAAAAAGGATAAACATTGACCAACAACTTTGTGCATCCATCAGAAAGGTACATTTACTACTGGCTGAATTACCATCTGGTTATTTAACATAGCCATGGAAAATCTCCATTTTATAGCTAGGTAAACCATCTATTTCTATGGGCCATGGCTTCCATGGCAATGTTAGTCATAACCAGAGGGTACAATAACCCACTAACCTGAAAATAGCTCTTATCTACTGGCAGCATCATTCCAGTGACGGAATATGCTCTGTGAGGATCACTGGACTTCCACCCTTCGGAACGGCCTGGAAAAGAGAAACCATCGATCCATCACTTGATTGCGGCTCAAAATGAGGTGCAAACAGATGCAAACACTCCTTTTGGGCCCTAACATCTTGACATCTGTGGTCACTTTTGATGCATTCTTGATGTCATTTGCTTCCCCGGCAAGAATTCTTCGTAATTAGGGATAAATCAATCACGTCTAGCTATTCCAGAGCCTGACCCATCCCCTAAAACTAATCAGTACAAAAGATATGTATTGATTCATTGTAACCAGAATAGTTCGGCTATTTTGGGATACTGTAGTTTTTTTTTTTCGATGTCGCGACGTGAGGTCGCGACATCACTTGTCGATGCGTGTATATATATATATATGAATATATACCTAGTACAAAATTATCATTGCCGTAATCTCTATATC